CAAGGCCCCCGCCACAGTACGCTGACCGGCTTGATCTATGCGATCCAGTGCATTCCGGGCTCGAAAAGCACTGGAACGCATTGGTTATGGTGTGACTTAGAGACACTTCCCTCTTTCCTTTTTTCATAGACAGATCCTACAGTTAAGCTCTGTGTGCCTGTAAAATGTACAGGTTTTCTAATTTAAAAAATTCCAATTAATCAGCAGGAGATGCACGTAAAGTAAGAACAAATTTCCTTGAAGTTATCTGCAAACTTTATGCTTTAACTGCAGCTATATAAGACGATTCCGTGAGAACTTTGGTTTAAAAAGAGCAGTGACAGATGAACTGATAGAGGTGAGTCATATAAAAATGGAATACCCTTTAGTCCTTTCTCGAAATGATGTGTTCAAGAGTACACTTTATGGCTGTCTGTAGTTTACATGTTTAATACATAACTGGTTCTAAAAAGTTAATATTTCCTTACTGTTTATGTGACTATTATCTAAAACAAGAGCATAAATCCCAACTGTTCCTGATTTGGAGGGACTGTCCCTCATTTGGAACCAAATCCTGCTGTAAAAGTCCAGTCACTGCTGCTGTCTCCTTGTGCAGGGTGACTGGTCTTGTATTCCCCCCCCCTCCCATCCTGTAGCCCTGACAGTAAAAAGGGAAGTGCCAGCTCTAAGGGAATGTAGCAAGATATGAGTAAGAGACAGAAGAGAGAAGAGAGCAAAGAACAAACACAGAATGTGGTAAGAGATTGCACACCCACACCTCATCAATATATGCTACAAGTCTCATAACATCTGTCCAGATATCTAGAGGTATAGGCCTTTAGGAACCTTTTAAATGCCTCTGTGTGTTATTTTTGCTAAGCAGCCAAAAGGAGCTTAAACCAGCCAACAAATACTCTGGGATACTGTACATTTCAAAGTTGCCCAAGTGTCATCCTTGGCCACTCTGTCTTCAAATCTCTGGTTTAGAGAAGATCAATGACAACTGGCAATTTCGCTCAGACTCTCTTCCATTTGTAAAGTCAAAAAGGTTGATTTACAAAAGAGCAAATCAAATTTTTTTTTGTATTTAAATGTATATGCATATATGTATATATGTTATTTGATACATTTAATAAATATATATTGAATAAAAAAAAAAAAAAGAGCAAGGAAAAGAAGATATAAAATCTGGCCAGCTGCTATGGACCACAATCTTATTGCATTTCGTTTCAAGTTTTTGAAAATAGAATAGATTCCTTGATGAATAACCCTTTAAGGACTAAAGTTCTGTTCAATTACTGACATTCCACAAACAAAGATTTTCATGCAAGGCAGGCCCAATATATGTAGGGACGCATTATCCTTCAATGGCCGCTATTATTTTGTATTTTTCCTTCTGTTTGCTGTTCTTTACAAGTGGACATATAGGAGAAGAGGAAATATAATACAATAGCAGCCATTGAAGGATAATGCTTCCCTACACATTTTGGGCCTACTTTGAATAAAAATCCTTCAGGTAGGAAATTTTTTATATCTTTATACATACGTGGGGAGGAGAGATGCCGGCTGCTAACAGCACTCTCCTCCCGCACCACTCGGCCTCCTGAGACAGTTTCTCTTTTCCCGCTGGAACACAGAGCAGCACCCAGCGGGGAACACAGAAACGAGGGATGCACCGTTATTTCGGTAATTATGCCAGAAGTGCCATCTTTGGCCAATATGTTTCGGCAGCCGAAATTTCGGTGCATCCCTACTATTTTTATATGATGCCTCCTGAGTACATCCAGTCCTGAGTAAGCTGATTGTGAAATGCATTGAATTAAGCCACTTTGATTAGCGTACTGAAGATAACAAATACGTTTCGTACTATTGATGGCAACTTATATGTCTATATACACTATATTGCCAAAAGTATTGGGACACCCCTCCAAATCATTGGATTCAGGTGTTCCGTGAAATTTCATGCTACTAAATATTCCACAGTCAACTGTTAGTGGTATTATAACAAAATGGAAGCAACTGGGAACAACAGCAACTCAGCCACGGAGTGGTAGGCCACGTAAAATGACAGAGCGGGGTCAGCGCATGCTGAAACGCACAGTGCGCAGAAGTCACCAACTGTCTGCAGAGTCAATAGCTACAGACCTCCAAACTTCATTTGGCCTTCAGATTGGCACAACAACAGTGTGTAGAGAGCTTCATGGAATGGGTTTCTATGGCCGAGCAGCTGCATCCAAGCCTTACATCACCAAGTGCAATGCAAAGCGTGGGATGCAGTGGTGTAAAGCACGCTGCCACTGGACTCTAGAGATGTGGAGACGTGTTCTCTGGAGTGACCAATCACACTTCTCTGTCTGGCAATCTGATGGATGTGCCTGGGTTTGGCGGTTGACAGGAGAACGGTACTTGCCTGACTGCATTGTGCCAAGTGTAAAGTTTGGTGGAGGGGGGGATTATGGTGTGGTGTTGTTTTTCAGGGGTTGGGCTTTTTTGTAAAAACCACCTTGTTCTAGTGCAAAAATGCAAAAAAAAGGGTTTCATTGTAAGATAAGCCTGCTTATTGGGCTTGGCCCCTTAGTTCCAGTAAAGGGAACTCTTAAGGCATCAGCATACCAAGACATTTTGGATCATTTAATGCGCCTAACTTTGTGGGAACAGTTTGGGGATGGCCCCTTCCTGTTCCAACATAAGTGCGCACCAGTGCACAAAGCAAGGTCCATAAAGACGTGGACTGGGGTGGAGGAACTTGACTGGCTTGCACAGAGTCCTGACCTCAACCTGATAGAACACCTTTGGGATGAATTAGATTGGAGACTGCAAGCCAGGCCTTCTCATCCAACATCAGTACCTGACCTCACAAATGCTCTTCTGGAAAAATGGTCAAACATTTCCATAGACACACTCCTAAACCTTGTGGATAGCCTTCCCAGAAGAGTTGAAGCTGTTATAGCGGTAAAGGGTGGGCCAACTCAATATTGAACCCTACGGACTAAGACTGGGATGCCATTAAAGTTCATGTGCGTGTAAAGACAGGCGTCCCAATACTTTTGGCAATATAGTGTATTTAAAATGTGAAATGAGTAGTTAGTGGCTAATGGAGGTACCCATACTAATTAGAAGGATTGATGGCTATCCCATATTTTAATTCTATGTACTGTATGTCTGTTCTATATGTTGTGATACAATAAATGCAGAGAATTTGAAACCCAAATTCTTGTAAAATGTTTGTCTAACCTTTATAGGGCCTTGATCACCTATCAACCCAACAAGAGCGTATTTATCAATTACTGACAGCTTCTACCCCCTAAACAAATATGGAAACCGTATAAATCAATTTGTAACAATTTGTTTTTTGCCCCTAGGAGTCTTGGTCCCCTTTAAAAATGCCATGGATAGGAAAAGAGATACAGATCATAAGACAATTTACACACTTGTGGGGGCTAATTGTAGGCCGGCAGTGGCATTAACCTTCATAGCTGAGGCTCTAAATGTGTAGTTGGCGGAAACTAAATCAGTTTGTCAGAGAAGAGGAATACAGTGAGGCAGCAGTAGACCAAGTCAGAATAGCAGGTTGGTTAATGATGGCAGCCTTTTAGTGAAGCAAGATCATACAGGCCTGGCAGGGAGTACTTCAGACAGGTATGACAATATACACAGTCACTCTTCACCAAGGCTGGCAAATCAAAATCAAACCAATGTTCAAAATCTATCGAAAAAAGTTAGTCAAGGTTTGTTGACTTGAATCAACAACATCACAGGCCATTCATCCAGTTCCTTTTTAAGAAAGGGGTACAGGGACTTGCTCCAAAATGTTCCTAGTAAGAAAGGCCTCAAGACATTTCAGACAAGTATTGGACCTGAAATTAGTAAATTAATTGAAGAATACTCTTCCATGCAGAATGCAGCCCCTGAAAGCGTACTTTTTATGAGGAAGTTAGAGCCTCTGATTCCCTATATGGGGTGTGTGGATCTGCTGGTTCAGAAAGATGCCTGACCTCTGAAGATCAAGACATTGAACCTAAAGGCTTGGAGGTTGAGAGTTTAAAAAGTTTGAACATCTCAGACAATGTCATTAATACATTTACAAGGATCCAGGAAAGGAAAATTGCGGTATCTGTCAACATTTTTAATGATTCACATTCAGCAGAATTTGAAGTGATATGCAAAGTGATAAATAATCAAATGACAAGTTGTGTTACTTCCAAAAACGTTTTGTGCAAACTATTATTATTTTTTCCCCTATTACCTGGGTCATGCATGGCCACCCTAGGACCCCCTCAAGCAAAATACTCATATACGGGTTGCTTGTTTTCAGATCTTTCCAGGCTAGCAAACTCTTTGGTGAGCTTCCACCTTCCACCCAGTTTGGAACATTTTTTTTTTCACTCAGCTGGGTACCAAGCTTTGATTGCAGTCTACATCTGCTGGATTCTTCATTTCATTTTACACGGTATAAATTTACATAAAAAGTGTTTCCTAAGAGGCAAGGTGTTGAGGCGACATTTCTGTGAACCAACCATCTAACCTTAAAGTAAGTTTTATAAAGACAATGAGTGATCAAACCTGCAAGACTAAACCCAGAATTTAGTTACCATTTTGAGTGGACTGATCTCTAATATCTATTGATGAATGCCTTTTCAATTATAAATTGTATCATCCCTGGAAAATGACATTTGTTACTTGTCATCAATTATTTCCTATTTACAGCCAGCTAAGAATCTGTATTAATACTTAGTAGTAAATATTTTTTTCTTTCATCTAAAAAACAATGAGTGATTTGTTTTTTCTTGTAAGTAGGTGTAAATCATAAGATACCAACATAGATAAGATTAAAGTTACAATTTTTGTTTGTAAAGCTACAAAAAGTGCTCAGGCATAATTTACACCATTAAGATGTACCCACCACTCTGAAGAGGTGTAACTATAATCACCACCAGAGATTCAGAAGTGCAGAAGTGCAAGACACAAACCAAACTAAAAGTATATCCATTTTAGGTGTAGATCAAATAAAGTCTTCTTACCCAGGGAAGCCACTACTACTGCATCGCTGTATCGGGTGATGAGAAATGCCAGGGCCAATAAAGTAAACATTACTGCTCGTGTCCCCTTCATCTCTGCTCTCGGCAAGTTGTAATGGTTGAAGATGCACTCTGCTGTTTTCTAGAGTGGCATTATATATATTTTCCTCCCTGTTATTTATCTCTCGCATTATCTATGAAAAATACTCCAATTAACCTTTGGACACCAGTACATAAGTAAGTGTCAGTGTTGTAATGCATTCCTCACTGTATCATCCTTCCAAGCCAGGGTCCAGACTTTGACACTGAATTTCAACTAGGAAGAACTTTAATGTTACAGACACAGTTCAGATAGAATTACAATGTAATAGCAATATATTTTAAACTAATAAATGTTATTAAATATAATCATTTACATTGACAGACATTTACTCTGTTGCTAACATGACCTAAAGTTGTGTTTTTTTTTATACAATCTTTATTTATTTATAAAATGCATGAAACAGAAAAAGTACATTCCTCTGGAACATGTCAATGAGTCACTTATCGCACAATAAATTCCTATAGGCAACAATGTAGTGTCTTTATATCAATTATTATTATTATACAGGATTTATATAGCGCCAACAGTTTGCGCAGTGCTTTACAATATAGGGAAGACATTACAATAACAATACAATTCAAAACAAGATGGTAAGGAGGGTCCTGCCCCTGAGGGCTTACAATCTAAAGGGAGGGGGAAGTGATACATGAGGAGCCACGCAAGTTACATCCTTGACATACACTACCTAGAGTTGCAGATTTTTGTCCTGTCATTTAGCCGATGCATTTGGATACATTAAGGCTAACCATGTCGATAGTCTGTACCATCTACAGTTCAGTGTATAACAGGTCTCCTGCATTGTAGAGCTAATCAAGCCTGGTTATTTTTGCCTTCTGATTCTCCATCAGGGTAATGTTCTCTCTCTATCTCTCTCCCTCTCCCCCTCCCTCCCTCTCTCTCTCTCTCTCTCTATATATATATATATGTATATATATATACAGTATATATTAATATTTTTCCCCTCTCTGTAAGGTAGTAGAAAGGTAGCTGTTCAGATACATACCCCCTCCTTCTTCACCCTGCTTCATAAGCACTGTGTGCCAAAACACAGTAATTTTAATGGTGGCTTGGGAAGTAACCGTTAGTTCTTTAGATCTACATAAAGTATGTGACAGGGAAAGTTTTGGATAACAGTGGCTATGAATAGTGGTAAGGTTGCAAACGATACCAGTTTGTTCCTATTGTGTTGTTCATATTGCTTCAATCTGTTTGTTGGAAATGCAACAGCATATTCTGATGTGTAGACATGTGCACACGCAATAAATTAATTTAGTTTTGTTTTGATTCCGAATTTGCATTATTTCGTTTTTAAGATTCGGGTCCGAAATTGAATTCGTTTCGGGATTGGGAAAAATTAGTTAGCGGTAGTCTGGTTGAAATTTTGTTTAGTTTTCGTTTGTTTGTTTTTTTCATCTTCTGCAGACTGTTAAAATAAAAAAAAATGTTTTTCTAATGTCACTTTGCTGCTAACGAATTTCCGGAAATTGGTAAATTCGGATTCGTTGGCATTCGTTTTAGCTGTAATTAGGAATTCGGATACATCCGAATCTCCGAATTTTCGTCCGAATTTCGTTTCGGAACGAAACTAATTGAACATGTCTACTGATGTCTACTGATATGTCTTTTGAGCTGAGATGGCGCTGTAGTGCAATGTTACACTACCTGTATGCTTATCTATGATACACAGGAAGTTTTCCTATCTATATGTTTCCTTTATAATGCTGTATTCACATGTAATGTCCTTCTAAGTGCAGCCAGCGTGCAGTAATGTCTACTTTAAGAGTTACTCGATGATGTTGCTGCTGCCCTGTATCTTGAAAGCAGTTACTTGTGGGGATTGAGGTCCACCGATGGGAAAGATACATACTGGACTAAGTCTCATGGACTAGGATTCCCTGGATGCTGTGGGGCAAGAAGTGAACTGTGTGTGCAAAGAAAGAGCATGGGCATTCTAGCAGGGGAGCACCAGCAGTCATAACGGAGAGATCTTCTGGCTGTGCCATTTAAAGACTCCAGCAGCACTACAGCCAATGTTCCTGTTGTGTGATAACTGCTTGACAGGAGAGGACACTACATACTACCTGGCTGGAGAACGATTGCTCTAGACTGTGAATTCGGCTGCCGCCCAATTTGTGTGAGAAAGTGAGCCGCGACCCTGCGTGAATGAACGGACACTGCGGTTGACATTTCAGCAGATGCACGAATCCAGAGACTGCTGATTTCATCCCAGGAGGACTGTGTAGCTGACATCCGAGGTCGACAACTGCTGTGCACTGAATCTGAGATACTGTGCTGATCCAAGCAAGTTGGCTGGAGGAGACAAGGATGCCTGTTTCCTCGCTGACCAACCCAGAGTCATCGCTTCACTGTCAGGACAGATGAAAGGCCACTGGCCACCCTACTACTGTAGTAGTAGTAAAGTAATTTGTACCAGCAGAGTTTGGACCCCACCGACAGCTTGTTCAATAACACTGGCCAGTAGGTTTAAGACCCGGGTCTGTTTGGACTAAGACTGTATCATTGCTCTAACTAATTACCAGGAGATTTAATACAGTCAGTTCAGTATAATGTGGGAAGTCAGATAGGCAGTAGTATCAGCACCTGTCTGAACATTACCGTGTTTTCTATTGTATGTCACTTTCCGTTTATAATTGCTTGTACCTTTATAACGTTAACGCGCTACTGCTTGGTAAAACTTTTCAAAACGCCACAAGGTGTGCTGTTGATCCGTTGTCGAGGCTTATCACAGAGGAAACACAGGGAGACCCATTGTATTACTGTATGCTGCTCCTTAGGGGGCACGCTACATAAGCAAGTAAAACTTAATTCAGCATTACTTCTTAGGGGGTGCTTCATCTAAACACATAACCAACAGGTTAGGGGCTAAGGCACTAAACAGAACACTGCAAGTCAACAAGAGCTGCAACCAAGCTGCTGAAAGATGGCAAATAGTTCAGATATGAAGTTTGCAATCGCAAAGCTCAACAATAACAACTACCAGCTATGGAAGTTCAAGCCTGCAATACTGTTAAGCAAAGATGACTTGTGGCAAGTACCAAGTACAGACAGACCCACCAATGGACCCATGGAGGATTGGAGACAGGCAGCAGAAGAAGAAATAAAATCACTCCAAGAAAATAAAACCTGGACACTCACAGAGCTTTCCCCCAATCGCAGAACTATAGGAAGCAAATTGACTTTTAAGGTGAAGTTCGATTTAGAAGGAAATATCCACACATACAAGGTCAGATTAGTTGCCAAGGGATACTCCCAGAAATTTGGAGAAGACTACGATGAAACATTCGCTCCCGTCCTAAAACACTCCACCATCAGAACATCGCAGCCAGGAAGGGCATGCAAATAAGACTCCTAGATGTTAAAACCACTTAAGACATTAAGGAAGATCTCTACATAGAGCAACCACCAGGGTTTGAGCAAGGACACAACCTCATGTGTAAACTCTATAAAAGCATCTAAGGACTCCAGCAATCTGCAAGAATGTTGAATGAGAAAGTGAATGAAATACTCACGAAAGAGGGATTCACAAGAAGCACAGCAGATCCCTGTCTTTATTGCAGGAATCAAGAAGACGGATGAATATGCATCCTAATTTATGTTGATGACATTGTAACCCATTTTGAACAAGAAATAGTTCACAAACAAAAACAAAACTGAAATCAAAGAGCTAGGAAATATCAGTCACTATCTGGGAATTCAAATAGAGAGGGAGGAATATGGAAGCTATCTTCTCAACCAAAGTCAGCAAATTGCAGACATTTTGGAACAATTCCACATGCAAGATGCAAAGAAAGTAAAAACACCGAACCAGGCTACCTACAGAGCAATGAAGCAGAAAACGTGCTACCCAACAATGACAGGTACTGTAGTGCAATCAATGAGCTACTTACTATACATTGCCATGTGACAAGACCAGACATAGTGGCAGCAGTGGGCATACTCGTTAGAAAAGTCGCAGCACCCTGTCAGCGTGACTGGAATGCAGTAAACAGGGTAATACAGGGGTGCCCATTAGGTCGATCACGATCTACCAGTGGATCGCAAAGCGATCCCTGGTAGATTGCGATGTCCTGTCCTCCTACCGTGGGGCTTCTCTGGATCCCCACTGCTCTCCCCCATCTGTATGCAGCAGGGATCCGAGAAGTGAACGAAGCACTGGCGGCGGGGGCGGAGCCGCTATCACAGCAGCACGCCGAGCGGTGAGGAGAGAGAGAGAGACACTTGGCCTGGATCTGACAGGCGGCGGCTCTCTCTCTCCTCTCGCGGCTGAAGTGCTTTCCTCACTTCTCCTCGGATCCCCCGCTGCCTCTGCCCTCCAGAGCAGCGGAGATCCAGAGGAGAAGCTGAGCCCCCATGTGTACATGGCCGAGCGGCAGAGGTTCGGTACATATCGATGATATGTGCCAATCCTCTGTGCAGGACAAACACTGGAGCGATCAGCTGATCACTCCCGTGTTTGTAAATAACTGGGGACACATAGTACTATGTGTCCCCAGTTATGAATGAACAGGATGTGGTTTACATCACTTCCTGTTCATTCATGAGTTTCTCAATGGGGAGTAGCACTCTGTACAGAGGCTCCTCCCCATTCAGAAACTGGATGATAGCAAATAGTTTCTGAATGAATGGGAAGCCTCTGTCCTTTCCATTCATTTACAGTAGAACAGAGGCTGCAGAAAAAGAGATTGAGGACTCTGTCCTAAATGCTAGCTATGGCTATGCTCCCGCGGTGCTCGTGTGGCTGCCGGCTGAATGTGTTAGACGCCGCAGGCGGGAAAGGGGCAGGACGTCTCTCCCCGTGTGCAACGTCGGCCACACAAGCACCGCGGGAGGACAGGACTCCGGCGCCTCTAGAATATTGGAATGCAAGCCGGCCGACTCTCTGCGTTCAGGGGCAGAAGGGGGCGTGGAGTTGTATTGAAGTCAATGGCACCGCAGCCATGCCCCCCGCCCACAGTGCGATTGCAGCATTTTT